GCAAAAGGGGATGCCATACCCACTACCTGGACCCCCTGCCATATGTGAGATTTCGCTGGTGGTATCTACGGCAGTGGGTTCCACATGGTTCCACCAAAAAGGCCAAAAAGGCTTCCTTCACCCAATCGATTCAGTCGAACCGATGTACGACTAAAGCAGGGTACTTTCTGGGAAGGGAGTCCTACCGTCGGTCCAAGTCACACAGTTGACTCTTCGATCACCAGTCGCAGGAGGTCGGGAGTAAGTAGAGGGGGCCTCTAAGATTACCGGTTTGGAGGGTCATCAAGCCGCGAAGGTGAAAGAATTCCCTGCTCCTCCGCGCGATGTCTGCTGAAGAAACAAGAATCGACCTGGGGAGAGGTACCCCTCCTGCAGCTCGGCGCCACATGGACCCCCCCCCCCCGCAAAAGCCACCCGGGCGCTCGGGTACTTCGGCAAGTCGGGTCTTACCCCCTAAGTAGACACGTCGGTGGCCCAGGCGCTGGTTGATGCAGTTGCCCTTCCCAAGGAAAACAAAGTCATCCAGCACCACCCCTTTGGGCAAAATCGCCGAGAAGTTCGCCTGGTTTCGCAGTCTGGTCGGTTTCAAGGAGGGGTGCTTTCCTCAAGCAATGGACCTAGAACCGGAGTGATCTCTATTTTGGACCACCAACCTATCAACACTAAAGACAAATGGGCATTAGATCAAGGTATATACAGACTTGATCTTTGTCATTCATGCAATGATATTCCCCTGGAATGGTAAGAGTAAAACTTACCGTAAAACTGATCCACCATGTTCATCATGCCGACCTACATCTCGAACAAGCCCTGCACCCAAAAAACCGCCAACTGGAAAGTCTAACTGAGTCAGGGCTCTACCTCTCTCTAACTCTTAGGTCCAACCTTCTACCGCTTGTATGCAGCAAGTCAAACCTCCAAACTCCAAACCCGGTCGCTGCAGGAAGTCCCGGAACGGCACTTCCGGCGCTCACCGCCGCTCCGGGAAACGGCGGCGCCGCCGGGCGCGGCCAGCTCGGAGTCAAGGCTACGGAGGGCATGTCCGTGGTGAAGGGCGGATCCGAGGCAAAGCTCCTGGGAGCGCAGGGCCCAGGGCGGGCGCCAAGAAGGTTGGGGGACGGAGGAGGCGGGAGAAGGTTGCTTTGCAGACTCGCAGGAGGTTGGGGGTGGGGACTTGGAAAGGAAATGGATGAGAGGGATGAGTCGAGGTTCAACTGCCTCGACAGCGAGCTGACTGCTTGGGGTGATTCCACCACATTTCCATCTATACGAATCAAAAAGAAGGGGTGTGCGTGTTTGTGAATAATCATAGAGAGAGAGAGAGGGAGGGGGGGTGACAGATTTGTTGGGACGGCTGCTTCAAGCGCACAGCGTCAAGCCAAGCGGCGTCAGAGCAACACCACAAAGAACACCGATGAAGGTGAGCAAAAGCAGCACGCCAACCTCAATGGTTCCGTCGGAGGGTCAGCGGGGGGTCACCACAGGTGGGGAAAACCAAATAAAAACTCCTTTCCTCTCCTGCACGCCGTAGGCTGTCACGCCTGTGGCATCCTATGGCTACATGCAGTGAAAACTAGAAAAGTTGGGGTGAAGTCTGGGCCCATTGCCCCAACGGAATATCTCACTCCACCCCGAACTTGCGAGCGCGTTTCTTTCTTGCAAAAACCTCCCGAAATCCCACACTGCCTGCTGGTGCCTGTTGGTGCCCAGTGGCCACGTCACCTCACGTCAGGACACTCCCTCCCTGCTCACTCCAAGGAACCACCCGGAGGCACTCCGTCTGCCGGGCATCCATGTGCATCCAGTGGTTCCGCGCCATGGGACCGCGGCGGTCGGCGGCGGTCAACGGGGGGGAGTGCCGAAGGGTCGGAGGACCGGAGGATGGAAAGGTCCTCCGGTCAGATGAAGTGAAGAGCAGGTGTCTCTCCCCCCCCCACTGCGAAGGACCGGGTGATCGGGAAGCCAACATCCGGTTCCAACATCCGGGTCGATGATGGGGGGTCAGTGATCGGGAATCTAAAAGGCACACGGGATCATCTGAGACCGGGAGATGGGGGGACAAGTGGCTTCGGGCTACGTGCTTGGCTGGTGAGTTGTGGAACGTACATTGAGCCCAACGTCTCCGGAAGACTGCGTGATACCAGCACCCTGGGGGGCCCCAGTGGACCTCTGTTTTGATTTCGGACGTTCTTTCGGACGTTCGACCACTTTTTTGGGTGGTTAGGTGCTTCTATTCTAGAGGTCACTCAGGCTCTATAGGACAACACCACATGCACCAGTCGAAGAATCTCACACACACCGCAAGGTCGCAGTATTCTCCTTTGAGTCAAGCCGTGCGAGGGTGGATCTGATTGGAGTGCAAGCCGAATTGGATCTGACCAGATCAAACCAACTCGACGCCTTCAGGACTTCGGCTTGAGGGGCAGCAGAGGAGTGCAGCGAATATAGTCCACATGCACGGACCCCCGAACATCCCGCCGCCAACGCCCCTCCACAGCGAGCCGGACCCCCTAACCGCCACAGCCACCGCCTCTATGGTGTCGCAGGAGCATCGTGCCCGCCCATGAGCCAAGATGTTCTGTGAAAAGCCACTCTGTTCACTGCCCCTTCGCAAGCTGCTTGCATGGCAAACCCGTTCAGGATCTGACCCGCGAGAGGTGCAATCCCACTAACATCACTAACAAAAGTGGCGCCAGCGTAGACCCCAAATAACAAAACTGCCATCCAAGCTGCCAAGCGCACACAGGCACCTTTTCCTATCTGGATAAAAGGGGATTGAACCCAGTGCGCCCTCTCATTATTAGTAGGGATGTTACAGTAAATCTCTACACATACGGCGTCTCTCAAATTCCTTTCGGCGTCTCTCCTCTCTACACCCTACAGTGACGCATTTAATGCATATGGACTTCTTACTCCGGTCGAACTTTCCAGGTTTCCAGGAACCTGCATTGACTGCAATACGATCGACGATCGCCAAAAAAGAAAGCAGCATCTCTTAAACAGATTCTATGGGTCAGTTGTGGTACCACTGACACATGAGTTGAAAATCAGCTCATGACGGTCAAGTGCCTGTATAGAAAATACTCAGTACTCCATATTCTCAAGGTCTTAAAACAGGGTCTTCGATCGAGCCGTTGGAGTGCCACTTCGAACTGACCCTGAAGAAGCTAGAAAACGACGCGCACCGAATGGACTTACACCATCTTATACCAATTGATTCGTACCGTTTTCACATCTGGCTGAAGGTCAAGGTCAAGGACTGCTATGGAATATAGATTGGATTTTAACTTGGGCACCAAGTGGGATACAGTCGCATGTCAGAATGCTAATGACCATGGCGACAACTCCACTCTTGTCTTGGGCAAATGCTCGTGAAGCGTTGCCAGCTGTCCAGCCTCTGCCCCAAAATCATTCAAGACCCTTTTTCGAAGCATCCCAGGGTGTCAAGAGTCAAGACCCAGTACAAATCTCAAAGAAGAAGCTTTGTACAAACACATGGGACCTTCTTTGGCGGCATCACGGCGGCCCTGGGAGTTGCTGAAGCCCGCCAACCAGCCAGCGCAAACTTTGACACCTTTTCTCCGCGGCTGGTGACCCGAAGCTGGCTCCATTCAAGTTGGCTCAGTCACTAACCTCCCGAGACTATTTGTGCTCCCAAACGCTTCACCAAGCCATCCAAATGAGGAGCCAAAAATCCGAATTCTGCCTTCACGTGAGCAAGCTCTGCCCATGCTTGGCATTACACAAGGGTCGTTCATCATTCCCAAACATATGGCTTACCTGGCCCAAATTCCAATTGAAAAGAAGAAGAACTGACACCAGTCGGAGTCCTGATTGGCACAGAACTGTGATTATCAAGACGCATGTCTGGTGCGACCTCAACACCTTCCCCGCTATTATGCGCCCGGAAGCGTCACAAACCCCTGCTTTGGCCCTGGCCTAACCTACACTTGCCACGTCAATCCTCCGACCCCCACCCGACCGGACTTCGCGCGCGAGTCCGCGCCAGCGCCGGGGTGGGGGGAACGGAATGCTGTTTTCATCGAAGCATCCAAGGACTGACCTGAATTCAGTGAGACCGCGCCACAGAAGTCCATCCCAAGCCATGGATCTGTTCAATGGCGTCATGCATCGTGCGGTGGTGTTGGACCGCCACCCGCCCCCCGAGGCGACCTGGACCGTCATGGAAGCGGCCAAGCACGAGGTGGCTTTGACCATCGACCTATGAAACGGCTGGGTCTTTCGATGAGCAGACCAAACAGTGTGACCCTGCCCATGTCTGAGACAGTTCTTGGATAGTGATTGGAGGGCTTTGGCAAACTACCCAGCTTCATCCAACGTCTTATGAGATCCGCGGTGGAAAAATCGTTCTCCACCTGGCCACGTGGGGCCACGTGGCAACCAACGTTTTAGAACATAAAAGTGGAACCTCAAGGCTCCCAGCGGCGGCTCCCAGCGGCGGCTCCAAGCGCCGCGACATGCTTTTGTTCAGACCCCGGGGATCCAGGTGGATTTTGGAACGGGAGAACCGACCGAAGGCCGAACGGATCCGAACCGGCGTGCGTGGTTGACCTCGGTCTTGCGGGGCGCCACCAAGCCTCAAGCCTTCTTTTCAAGCACGGTGGCTTAGTTGAACGTCACGTCCGCAGGGCGCATGAATCTCTCAGTCCCGTTTTGAGCCCAAAAACCTCGTGTCAAACGAACGCGGCCTTGGGGAAAAGATTGGGCAAGAATTGCCCCGGATAGACCCCAACCCCAGATAGCACAAGACAATACAAGACATTTGTCTAAGAACATCATGACACACCTGGCTCTTCCAACTGTGACCACAATGCCCACCTTTTCATGTCGCCCGCCCAAGGGCCAAAATATGCCAAAATCATGTGGCATGGTTGGACAAGCGACGCGTCCTCGGTGACATATCAGTGACATACCAAGAGAGGTTAAGTGACCTGAACTAGGACCTTGCTGGGGTACCTATGGCATAGTCGAACTAAGGTTCTTCAACCTCTGTTGGTATATCTTTCGCAAAGGCTTCGATCTCTCTGTAGGATGACCTCTGTGAACCTTTTTCTCCTCCGACTTCTCCGGAGGATGGGGCTCAGGCGGAGGGACGCGCGCTTCAGGCAGCGATGTTCTTGGTCTGCTTCAAGAAGGACCTGGGTGAGATCCCCTAAATCACATCCTCTACCTCCCTCAGTTCAGTTCACCACCTGTTTGGTCTCCGGATTTCGTCATCCGAAACCAGGGCCACTTTCCCCAATCCACGTTGGCGCATGATTCTACGTCAGCATCACAGCATCACCCGGGGGGTGCTCCACATCGAACACCACCCGTCTTCCGTTCCTCCCGTCTCCAGGTCGCCGTGAGGTCGCGCGCCCCAAAAAAGGCCACCGGCCGGGGCCCCTCCGAGACTCCGCTCTGCAGGGCTTGAAGACGCGCGTCGATGTCACAGGCCTGGAGAACGCGCGAACGCGCAACGGCGAGTCCGGTCCACCGGGGACGGAGGTTGAAGCACCCAAATGTAGAAATGGCACGTCCCCATGACCAATCCAAAGCATCCATTAAACATGCCAAACACCCGACAAAGATCGGTCCCCTCCCCCATTGAAACGGCCTTTTCTTGACGCAGGATGCCTCCCCCGGACCTTCAGAACACCACTTCGCCACTTCGAAGCTACCCCCCCGGGCCGACGCGCGTCGATGCTGGGCGCCTCGTCTTCCGGTGGCACGGACGTCCCCAGCCCCAAGTCGGCCGCCACGGCGAAGAGGCTCCCGGGCCTCGGGGGAAACACGCGAACGGCACATGACGGACGCCGTCGGCGCTTGGCATGTCCCGAACTGGTGGGGCACACGGAGGGCCGGGAACGGATTGGATCAAAGGAACTGGAGTGGCTGGGAACCATGGTGGGATGTCAAGCTAGCATGGTTTTTGGTGAGGTCTTGACCCACAGCTTGCTTCCAAGTGGGGGAGGCACGTTGGATGGACAAAACGTGGGAGTCATCGTGGGTATCTCTGACATCTCTACATGAGCTGAGCTGGTTTGGGGTGCAACAGGATGAGTCATTGTATAATTTGTATACACAATGGGCACTACGACTTGCACCACCGGCTGTGTCCACCAACGATTGCAGGTTGTTTAAGCTCTTACTTCAAATCCCTCCAATCCCTGCCACGGACGAACTAGTCACAGAAAAGAAATGAATTTGCAAGGACAAACGGCAGCGGAAAATACAGCGTCCCCACCCAAGAGTTGCCCCCAATCCATCCAGACCTCATCCAAAACGCATCCAAACGCTCCATCCGCGCTGAATTGAGGCCCAAACTGATGCACAGCGGGCGCCTCGCCGCGGGTCGCACCGCAGCCCCCACTGCTCCCAGCCGCACCCGCGCGGATTCCGGAACCGTCCCATGGGACCCAACCCGCCTCCACGGGCGCCGTGGGAGTGATGGCACCTGCGACAAAGGAGAAGGAGCACCAGAAGATGGGAATGAGTCGGAAGGGGGAAACACCCATCACACCGCCAAAACCCCTTTGGGGCAAAAACCACCGAAAACCCCCACCGAAATCTCAAGTGCACAACTAAGAATGACACAACTCCGGCAACTCCTCCTCCACCGGAGCCTCCATAGCGCGTGGACACCGGCTTGGTGGGACCTCCGGCACCAGCACCTGCGGAACGGAGAGCGACGCGGAGAGCGACGCGGAGAGCGACGCGCCTGCGCTGTGGCGCTCTCGGAGGCTGAAGGCCGAGCCTGAACACGCGGCCGGGCGGCGGGGGTTTCGACGACGACCTATCTGTGCGGACATGAAGCCGTGGGGTCCGATAGTGAAGCCCATCCTTTCGTTGCAGTGGACCGAAGACGCAACTGAGAAAAGAGCACTATACATCACGATACCTGGATCTTCCAACTGTTACAAACGTTACGCCTTTTCATCCATATATATTTTTCTATCTTTAAAAACCCTGAACTCTGTGGCTGGGCTCCGTGGCTGGGGTGTGTGTCCAGGCCTTGTCCTCCTCTTGTCCTCTGTGGCTGGGCTCTGTGTCCAGGCCTTGTCCTCCTGTTGGCCGCGCCCCTGAACTCTGTGGCTGGGCTCTGTGTCCAGGCCTTGT